AGGAAAGATAGCAACTTGCACAGCAAGCAAAGAGTTGAAGAAAATACACAAATAGCAAGGGGCCATGCATGATATTCAGCCCACAACCCAAACTGATTCAAGAGTCATCCAACTGATCCTGTGAGTGAACAAAAAATGCAAAGAGAGGCACACCTCACTAGTCTGTGATGTAAACAATTGAGAGAGAATATACTTGTATATAAAGGGCAACTCCAGAGAGAGAGAGAGAGCGATCTGATCACTTATGTCGCGGACTAACCTGAGCATCTGAAGTCCAGAGGGTGAGATTGTCTCGTAGGAGTTGCATTATGAGGGTGCTGTCCTTGTATGACTCCTCTCCCAGCGTATCTAATTCAGCTATTGCTTCCTCAAACGCCTGGACAAAACACCAAGTCAATTGCAACAGACATATGCTACACATGAATCAATTTCAAGGCCCCCCACCCTAGTCCCTACACCTATACACACAAAGGTTGTAGTATATAGCATAGAAATTACATGTCAGGCATATAAAACTTGGACACCCGAGAGTCTTTTTATATAGTATACAGTATGTAGGCATATGGAAAGGAAGCTGCTTGGGTCCACAACAATAATATTATTAATAATAATAAATCTATAATAGAGTGATACAATAGGTTCGGAACATAAAGCATTTACCTGTTTTGCCATGACACATGCCTTGTCAGACGAGTTGAGGATCTCATAGTAGAAAACTGAGAAATTCAAGGCTAGACCAAGCCTTATCGGATGTGTTGAAGAAAGATCAACCAGAGCAATTTCCTTCAATAACGAAATATAAAATATCAGCAAATTTAAAGAAAACAGAGGTCAAAGAGATAGTAAAATTGCATAGCAAAGAAATAGCAGAATACTCCACAAAAGAATGCTAACACGAGGCATATGAACTATAATGCCACTCCAGATCATGACCACAAGTTACTCCAAAAAAACCAATCCCTATGTGTTACAATAAATACATAATTTGTAGATGAATTAACTAGTGAGATAAACAAGAAAACATAGTTCCACACACCTTCCTACTTTTATTTCAGGGAAACACAATTAAAAGGCACCACAGATTGATTTCTAGTTACAAAATCATTAACCCTAATTCCTTTGGGTGGTCTGTAGAATATACATACTAAGTATATATGTACACCAACTTTAATATCCAAACTACATCAGGATCTCAATCCATAAACGTTAGTTGCTCCAATTAGTCACCATTCGCTACACATCAATGCAAGCATACGCTTTTAACATAAAAAATGCTTTATAGCACCAACCTTTGGACTCAAATCCAAAGCCTCAAAACAAATCTAATTGACACAACAACTAGGAAAGGCGATCTACAATATAACTCACCTAAAGAGCAATCTTAAACACATATAAACAACAGATGAACAAGTGCTGAGTTTAAAGCCCTAATTTTGTAATTAGATTGAACAATCATAAACCAGTGGAGCTAGAAACAAGAAAATAGAACTGAAATGAAATAAGTCAACCTGAGCAGCCTTGTAGGAGTTCATAGTATCATCAGCGGCCTGCTTCCGCTCGTCCCCAACCTTGAACTCGGCGAGGTAGCGGTGGTAATCGCCCTTCATCTTGAGGTAAAACACCTTCGATTCGCTGGTACTCGCAGAGGGAACAAGGTTAGATTGAAGCAGATTGAGGATCCCGGCACAGACCTGGGAGAGTTCGGCCTCGACCTTGCCTCGGTAGTCCTTAATGAGCGATACGTGCTCCTCGTTCTTCCGAGACTCCTCCTTCTGCTCGATGGAGGAGACGATGCGCCACGCCGCACGGAGCGAGCCGATGACGTTTTTGTAGGCCACAGAGAGAAGGTTGCGCTCTTCGATTGTGAGTTCGGCGGCCGGGGTTGAGCTAAGGACCAGCTTGTCCATGAACTGCACCATCTCCTCGTAGCGCTCGGCTTGCTCGGCGAGCTTAGCCATGTACAGGTACTGCTCGCGCGACATGTTTTCTCCGGCGGCGGCCGCCATTTACTGTTTCAGAGAGGAAAAAAACGGCTGGGAGAAAGGGCGAAGACTCCAACAAGAGAAAAAATGACTGGCTGCTCTATTGACTGGCTGGAGAAGAGTTAATAGAGGCAGATTCAGATTAGCTGTCCGTTACTTTTGGGAAACACTGACTTTTGTCCTTGCTTTCCAATGAAGATATGTGTTTGGTAATAATCCGACTATGATTTTGAGTAGTTGTGAATCAAAAATTGATTTTACACCCAAATCTGACGGGTTTAATGCACCAAACCCCCCTGTGGTTTGGAAATTCGGCGCATTAGTCCCCTGTGATTTAAAAAATGCGTCAAACCCCCCTGTGTTTTAATAAATCATGCACAGAACCCCCTTTATGAATAAATTTAACGATTTGAAAATCACTTTTCCTAATATTTTGATTGAATATGCAAATAAATATGTCAAAATATCTGAATCATAAAAAATGTTAATCATTTTTCTTTTATTTGACAATTGAATTTGTTCACATAAGGGATTTGACGCATGATTAATTAAAACACAGGGGGGTTTGACGCATTTTTTAAATCACAGGGGCTAATGCGCCGAATTTCAAAATCACAGGGGGGTTTGGCGCATTAAACTCCAAATCTGACATATCTTCACGTGTCACATCTCTAATAATGATCATGAATGAGTCAAATTCAACAAGGACTAAAATTAATGACGTTTACTAAATATTAATGACGCACTTAACATATTACTCCACTAAAAATAAAGTATTACTTCATTCGTCTCATTTTGTAACATACATTTTCATTTTTGAATAGTTCTGAAAATATAAACATTTTCTTAATAATTTGTACTTCGTCAACATTTTATGTCTTACTTTACCCTTTTATCTATTATTCAACGTTTTTTGGTGGAAATAAGATTTTATTAAATTAATGAAAAAGTACAAGCGCTAATGAAGGAAGAAAATTAAAGAACAACTAAGCTAGTGAAAGATGAATCAGTGAAACAAAGAAATGAAAATTCTATTCATCGAGCATCTGTATATCTAAAATGATCCAAGCGTTCAAGGCCAGCTTCCCAATTTCCGTGAAAAGGATCCCTGCACAACATTACTGACCCGAACAAAATTGCTCCTCCTAAATAGCCCCATCAACCCATGCATGACCAACCATCCAAATACTTTTAACCCGTTACAGCTAAAATCTTGGCTTGAAGTCGAGCACTTCTTCTTGGCAATATTTGAGATCTTAATTTCCAATTTGGGTCACTTAGTCGATCAAGCAACTCTTGATCAGAGTCATATCCCGAAGATTCATCCTCCTCCGAGCTTTCAACAACAGCGTCTTGAGAGGCACCCTTTATAACCACAATGTTCTTGTTCTGTTCTTGATCCGGAAAGGAGTCCTGAAGCCAGGGCTGGACTCGGGCCGGTTCGGGCCCAACCGGGCCAGCGGTTCTGGAATGAGGGGGCCGGAACCGGCCCGGGTAATCCCCGGTTCCGGTTCGGGCTGGGCCTCGGGCCCTTGTTAATTTTTTTTTGCCTTTCCCTAGTTACCCCCCACCCCCCCCACCCCCAAACCACCCCCAAATGGCCCAAAATACCCAGCCCAACCCGAAAAGTAAAAAAAATTGAAAAACAAGATTAAAAAGGCCCGGAACCGGGCCCGAACCGGCCGGGCCGGTTCATGATTTGGGGTTCCCGAGCCCGGACCGGAACCCACGCTGGTCGGGCCTACCCTGACCGGTCACTGACCGGGCCACCGGGCCGGGCCGGAACAGTGCCGGTTCGGGCCGGTCCCGGGTTGGGCCACCGGCCCGAGTCCAGGCCTACCTGAAGCTCTTATTTTTGGAATTGTAAACCAATCACATCATTCATTCATTCTTAAATTTCTTAAAACTCACACCAAATGACATACATCTTATATTATGAATTAGAGATAATACGATTTTATGAATAATAAAATATACTCCCTCCGGTTTTTAATAAACTTCACACTTTCTTTTTTGGAACGGTCTAAAATAAACTTCACACTTCCTTATTTCCTTTTTTGGCAAAGAAATCTACATCAAAACAGTGTCAAACAGTGCCAAACAGTGTCTCTACAGTGTCTCTACAGTGCCAAACAGTGTCAAACAGTGCCTCAACAGTGTACTCTACAGTAAAGTCAAATTTCTTTCCTTATTTTGTGTGAAGTCAAAGTGTGAAGATTAAATAAAACCGAAGGGAGTATTATAAAGGGAGGGTTATTGTTTAGGGGTGGACTCGGGCCGGGCGGCCCGCCCCGGAACCGGCCCGAACCGGTTACTGTTTGAACCGGCCCGAACCGCCGGCCCGACCAGGGCCGGTCCGGGTAGGCCCGACCCGCTGGGGTTCCGGGCCGGGCTCGGGCCCCTCAGAAAGTGAACCGGCCCGGGTCAATTTATTTATTTATTTTTTTTTTTAAATTTTTTAAGTTTTTGGGCTGGGCTGGGTATTTTGGCCATTTGAGGTGGTTTGGGGGTGAGGGGGAGGGTTGGGGGTTAATTAGGAAAAGCCAAAAAAAATATAAATTGAACTGAGGCCCGACCCGGCCCGACCCGGCCCGACCCAGACCCGGAGGTTAAGCGGGCCGGTTCCGGGCCTCCCCTTTCATGAACCGAGGCCCGGCCGGGGCCAGGCCCGAACCGGGCTCGAACCGGCCCGAGCCCACCCCTATTATTGTTAGGGCAGCAAATGAACAGAGCCTCTCGATCAAATCTTTACTTTTAATTATTGAAAACCTCACACACATGCAATTAGCAAATGCTGTAAGATTAAAAATAAGCATATTTTCTGTGCTTTCTTAAAAAGAAGATTATAATCAAATTTAATATGGTCTTAATTGATTTTTAAAAAATAGGATTCAAAATATGTCAGTTTATAAATCAATGTTGGCATGCACTTTGCCATAACATTATTTTATCTCAACAGCTATATCTTGGACAACCACATATATTGCTTGAAATGTAATTCCGTCATTCATAGTGTAATTGTGTAAAACACAATGACGCATTAAAATATTTTCCTAAAAGTCTTTGACCAAACACTAAAAGTGGTTAACTTTTGAGTGGCAAACATTCATAACATGATAACAGAGTATAAAATTAATTGATAACCATACAAAAACACAGTATAAAACACATAAGTTAACAGCATGAAACTATGGTGCAACAAGCCAGCACGATTTTATTTATAAAGGAATTATTCCAGCGAGAATTGAACCAACATCCCAAATACAAGCACACATCAGTACATCACTCTACTATACCAACATGACACTTGTGTGGCTGTGCCTAAAATCTTCACATAATAAATCAATAGTTTACGTGCACGTGATTCTCGGAGTAGTATCCTCATGGTACATAGCTTGTAACTTAGGACTTGCTGTTTATTTATGGAGGAAAGTAATGCACATAAACTCTTGGGAGGCATTATTTCATAAACCTCTAGGAAACGCATTCAAAAAATAATCCAGAAAAGGATTACACTACCCTGTGGCATGCTTACTGTTTCTTGCATTTCCTTTTCCATGCAGCAGCATAGGCAGATGAAAACAACAGCAGGAGGAGGGTATCGGGCTTCAAGACATTTGTTCTACCAGAAGTGAAAGAACTTATGCAGACAAGCCTCGCATATACACCGATCATATAGTGGGTCGGGTGGGGGTATTAGTAGATTAACATAGTCACATACGATACTACATACAAAAAGAAAACGGCTATGGTGGTAGAGATGTACTCCCTAAAAAAGGAGGATTCATTGCTGCTGGCAAGCATCTCCCATGAATCTTTTGTTGGTTTTTTACAATATCGAGTTCTTCATGCCAAGACCGTTGCACGTCAAAATAAGTCCCTTGTTACGGTTTAGATAATCCTTCGATCATCACAACCAAAGATTCTATGAGTTATCTATCATAACATGCTTTGGTGTTTTCTTACCTTACACATTCATAAAACAAAATAAAGAAAGAAAGAGGAGGCCATATATTACCATTATGTTGTGGTCATAGGCACAGAGCATCCCCTTTTTATCATATTCCTGGCGTTTTTCTGGATCGATCAAAACTGTTGCACCATCATTAATTAAATATATCAGTAACAAAGTGAATTGCCAATAATTAGAATCTTCCACACAAACAATCGCCATCACACATTCATAGCCCTTTTACATTATAGATAGAATCTGTAACTTTGTAAAGTACTAGAGAGAGTATAGTGACAACTGACAACTCAATATAGGAGGATGCAAGTGTAGATCATGTGGTAACAGAATTAACCTAGGGGCAGGTAAGGGTTATGTGAAAAGCAAATTCAAAGATGGAACGCTATGGAGTTGGCAAAAAGGGGCCTTTATGTGGGGAGCTACGCTCATTAATGTAACCCATCCAATTAGAAACTGCAATACAATTAACGTAGGGACTTAGCTATTTAGAGTTTTACTCTTTAGAATAAACAAGTATTCAGAGACATATAGAGAGGGTTACATGGACAGTAAAATACTTGGTGTTATTATTATAATTGTTATTGTTGTTGACTTGTTGTTGAGCACTAATATGAAGAGTGTCATCTACATGAAAGTGCTCATGTATTGAGCAAGCATTAATAACTGTAAAAAAGAAAAACAGGGCATGTCAATAGTTTTGGACAAACCCAGCCACAAATCATAAAGTTTTAACCATGAATTTAGATACATGCTTAAAATAATCAACTTCTGTAATGGGGTAAGACAAGGGTTTGCCAAACATGGAAAAGACATTCTCATCCATAAAACTTTCTGAAATTATATATACTTTAGTTGTTGATTACTTGATATTCAGATCAATTTAAATACAATGATCATTCTTATGTTTTCAAATTCAATTCAATGGTCCTACCCATCTCTTTAATTTGCAGGAATTAAGCTCGGGTATCAATATCAAGGAAGGTCTATAAAAGCTTGCTCGGTTTAAGAATGCAGGAACTCTTAATAGTTCAAATTATTGTTAATGGGACTGATCTGAAATTGATGTACTAGAGAGTAGAGACATACAGAATTGATCTCAAATTCATTTTATTATTATAATTATTATTATTATTGTTATTGTTGTTGTATTTAGTATCATCATCACATTGTTGTCATTAATGCTTGATAGAAAATATAACTGGTTTGTCCAGTAATCACACTCTTAGAAAATCAATACATCATGAATTAATTCATCCTCATAACCGGACCTTCTTACATTGACAAAATTGATGTTATACAATGTCATCATCATCATCATCATCATTACCCCAGTGCCGCAAAGGTACTAGGGTTAACTCGAAACCCTAATCTTGCATGTGCGGGATAAATATCATGAATTCTATTTTATACTCCCTCCGTCCCAGAAAATTCTTCCAACTTTGAGTTGGATCGCATATTTAGGTAGTGGAATAAAGTAGTAATGTATGGTTGTAGTTGTGTAAGAAAAAGGTGAAATGAATGTGAGCCACACAAATAATCAAAAAGGTGAAGTTGGAAGAATTTTCTGGGACGTCCCAAAAAGGAAAGTTGGAAGAATTTTCTGGGACGGAGGGAGTACTATATAAGTGATCTCACGAGTCATGACTATGAATGCAGAATATTTGTTTCAAAAATGAAAGTTGTGGATATTATGTGCTCACTCCCGATTGTTCAGACTTCAGAGTATTGTATTTATGCACTTAGCACCCTAAAGTTACAATTTTGAAAGAATAAATTATCTCCACGGCGATGAATTTCATTCTCAATAACTAGTCCTATCCATGCTAGACAAATGCAATATATAATATCTGGCTGGTAGAGTGGTAGTAGGCAACAAATCTAGATTAATAACGGATAGAAACTTGCCACCTGTAATAATGTAAGAAGTATAGTGGTCAGCGAGTAGAAGAAGAGGATTAACCTTGATAAGCTTCGTTTATCGCTTGAAATTTTGAGGTGGCATTATCCTCATCTTTTACCTTATCCGGATGCCATTTCTATACAATAAACAAGAAAAAGAAAGGGAGAATTGAGATAATTGCTGAATAAGCTCAACCATACTTGCAGAGTGAAAACTCACTAAATAAAAAATGGATGGGTGGAGCAAAAATACAAACCAGAGCTAGACGGATAAAGTTGGACCGAATAGCCTCCTCCGTAGCATCATAGTCCACTTCCAGTATCTGATAATAATCCTATCAACATCGCCATATAACACAAGTCAAATTATTTTAACAGTACACAAACTTATAGAGCCCATTTGGCAAGTTTTAGGTTGACTGGCTGAATTTCCGAAAAGAAAAAGTGTTAGGTTAAAATGTTAAATCAATTTTGGCCAAATAGTGAGTCATAATATACTTATTCTGCTGAGGCACAAAAACCAGATAAATGCTGCCAAATGGGCCATAAAAGTTGAAGATGATAATATCAACAAGTATTTGTATCATTATTGTTATCCAATATTCATGTGAGGAAAACTTCTAATTTTATGAATTCCAAGAAGCCAACATTATATACAAGAGGCTACAGGAGTATGAGTCTTATCATTATCATCACCCAAGTGCCCCAAAGGCTCCCACCTACGGTGGAATAACAGGTCAGATGTACGCAGTCTTACCCCTGTACAGTCTTACCCCTTTACCCCTGTACAGAGAGACTTTTCCGAATGACCCAGGAGTATGAGTCTTATAAATTTTAAATTTAAACAAGAGCCCGATTAAGCACCTTGCCCTTAAAACCTAGTCGATAAGATATTAAGGATAGGGAGAAAGTATGGATAATTTGCAAAGTGATCACATGTGTAAAGAAGTTTTTTTTTCTTTTTCAACTTCAGTGAAGGAAAATAATATCTTCCTGATAATAATACTACCTCCATTAAAGAAAGTCAGATTTCAACCAAAGAAAGTTAACTTCCATTGAAACTAATGTCGTTTAGAAAATGGTGTACCACACCAAATTAAAAAGTTGGAACGGGGATTAGTAAATTCCCTATAAACCCTAAAAGCAGGCGGCAGGCGGAGAAATCCACAATCAAGAACACATTCCTTGAGAACGGAAAGCGAAAATGATACCTTCGGGTTAGAAATGAGAGATGATAAATCAAAGTTAATGTGAGAGGAATCGTCGTGTTCCTCTTCATCGTCTCGCCGGCGTGGTTCTTCCTGGTGCCGAGCATCGTGGCCGTTTTCTTCTCCAAGTCGTACATCGTCATCCCAATCATCCCACATCATTTCTTCCAGAAAAAAGCTGTGAGCTTCTTGTTAAATCCAACGATAAAAAAAAAGATGGAAACTTCGCCGTCTGGAGCGGCGAGGCAGGTTAGCAGAGTGAGTACCAACTGACTGGTTTATCCTATTAACAAGAAATTAGTGGCAATTTTCCCCATTTATGTCCACTCGGGAGCTCAACAAAATCTGCGGCGAGCAGCAAAGGAAAACAATAGTGATAGGAATACAGAGGGGAATAATAAACAAGCGGAAAAGGAACTGCTTTTCCTCCGTGATAGAATTAGAATGGGTTACACATGGTGTGTACCTCAATCTTTTTTCTTAGAATTGAAGGATCATTTGGAGTTCTTGACTGCTCAAGATTTTATTTGGGGATGATGTGTCGCGACGTATAGTGTTGGACCAGGAAACCTACATTTATGGCCTTATCTCATCCAAAGAAAATTTATGGATTACTTCCATTTTATCACATATTGCATTTTCATCTTGTCTTGATTCTTCAAATGTTTATTCTCTATTTTTTTTATTAAATTAGTCAAATACAAACTCGTTAGGAATTAGTAGCAGGCCCAATTTTCTTTAGCTTGCATGTCACATTTGTTTACCCGTGTATAAGATAGAATTATTGTTGTAAATGAATAGACAATTTTGAATTGATTCACGGTTTGAATTTGAAATTTGGATTCAAATTTAAATAAATAAAATATAAATATGAATATAAAGATGTTTTTCGGATTGAATGGTTTTTTAATACGGATATAAATACTTATTGGGGTACATGGCCTAACATTGGTAGGACTGCACAAGAACAACCTGAACCCGCATAACCCGCCCGACCCGACCCTATTTAATTGAGTATTTGATTTTAAAAAATATTCATGAGTTAAATATGTACGAACTCGCACCTAATGGATAGGGTTGCGGAATTGAATTCTCAAACCCGATAGTAACCGATCCGGCAGAATGTTCCTTTTGCTATTCTTATGCTACAAGATTTTCTTGGATATTTCAATTTAAGGCCAATGTGCTCTATCTAAGATTTTATGATATTAGAAATAGAATTAAATATTTACCATTTTGACTAGGTGATTATTACATATTTATGTTTGCTTCTAAATGAACTTCCTTTATGGAGGAAGTTTTAATATTTTTACCTGATGTTTTAGCTTATAAAAGATATTTGTATTTGTTTGTGTGTTTTGGAAATAAGTTAATCAAGTTTCAAATTGCTTACATTGATTTCCCACAATAAAGATGCAACCCGAAGTGGTTTTTTTCAATGTCCGACCCTACCCAACACGTTCATGTATGGTTTACCAACTTATATTGCATATTGTGGGTTGATTAATAGCCAACCCAAACAAATTGGGTAGGCTTAAAAAATATAGCAAACCCGACCCAACCCCCGGTGTGCAACCCAAAGCACAGGGCAGGCTCAATCCCCCGTAAGTAAGCAAATCCAGAAGGCCTATGAAGGGTCAAACCTCGAACGGCTTTGCCCACTCGACGTAAGCCGCACAACACAGGATCCTTGAACAATCATCAAATTGCTATGAAAGGGCCCTTGTCTTACTACTCCAGGATAATTGGCGGAAAAGTAAGAATTTAGTGGGAAGGCAAGGATTTGGCGAGAACCGCATTTAATGCATCAGATATGAAAAATTTGATGGTTCGGGCTTGACCATCCAGGACTCGTTACGTCATCACCACCATCTATCACATTGGTAGTATATATTGTAGCATTTATGCCATTGTAAGAGCACCTCAATGCTAGAATGTGTACGATACACATGTGACATGAGAGAGATAGACACAAAAGATTACATGTATGAAATTTTCTTTTCTTATTCACGTTCTTATGTGTTTTTAGTAAGTTTTTGTCAATAACGTCAACTACAATGTCTACATCTAGACATTGTGTTTGACATCTTGGAGAAAATTTTATCAAAAAACATATAAGACCTTTCAAATGAGAAGAGAAATATTCTATTTGTTGTTTTTTAATTGACTATATCTCATGTCATGTATGCACTGAACATGTTTTTGCATTGGAAATGCTCTAAGGGTTGGCAACTTGTCTTCAATAGCACTAGCTTATCTCTCCACTTCTTCTGCATACTCTCAGCTTAATTATAATAAAGGGTCGAGACTCGGCTCAGTAAAAGTGCACTGCAATCGTTCTAAATCATTAATAGAACTTGGCATACGCACTTTACCTTTTATACTCTTTCTTGCTATTATATGTGCCTCGTTACTATCTAGATTCTAGATAGCTCACTAAAACAGAACCGACCCATTAAAATCCAATGGAAGTCCAAGGGAAAGTGTCGGATCCTTGGACCGAGAGGAATAAACCCCACCAATGGTGTCGTCTGTGGGAATCGAGCTCATGACCATGTGGTTTATTATCTATTATTTTGGGCTACTATTATTCCAAAAGCTCAATACTCATTTATCCTATGATTTTCAAGAAATTGATTGAAACACAACGAAAAATTACTCTAGGACTTGGGAGTTTCCCTATAAAAAAGTATCACTAAATCAATGATTAGAGCAAGCTTGGAAATGTTCATGCATACCATGTTCCAAAACATACTACAAAAATATTTTCGAAAATCAAACTAGAAACAAGGCCAATCCATTTTGGTGCCTGAACGATGCAGTTAACAAAAGCACTACATCGAGCGTTGAGCGCTCTATTTAGCCTTGGCGTTTCTGGATTAAGACATAAGTCATAGGCCAGACAAACGACCCACATATCGTAGAAGGGGAGAGTCATTGGACCTTTATTGGACCACACACATTCAAACAGAGAAGGGAGAGAGTCATTGGACCTTCATTGAACCACATGGTCTAATGAATGGCCAACACATTGATCATTCAACGTAAAAATCAAAGAGGGGTATATTGTATTAGGAATTAGTGGCAAAATTTTAAAAGTACATGGATTTTAAAAGTTTAGGCGTATTCAATGTGGACTGTTAAAAGTCTACAAAAATCTAGGTGTATTCAATGCAGACTTTTAAAGATCTATAAAAGTCTAGGCTTATTCAAAGTTCCGTTCATTCTTATTGACTTCTAAAATCATGGATTCTCGTGGATTTAATTTTTAACTCATTTTTAGTGTAAAAGTTCTTTGCAGTTGTCTTCTTCTTCTTACTCTTCTTCTTCCTCTTCTTCCTCCTCTTCTTCTTCCTCCTCGCTCTTTGTCCTCCTCTTCTTCCTCCTCTTCCTCCTCCTCTTCTTCCTCTTCTTCTTCTTCTTCTTCTTCTTCCTCTTCCT